TTTTTTTTGTTTATATTAAAGCAACTGAAAAAAAAACTGTAACAGGAATAAAGAAATATATACCTGTCTTAACAACTTTTCGTTCTTCGGTTGTCTGCTTTTACAGAGCGTCAGTTAACTTCTTTCTCCTCTTTCAATCCACACCAAGGACTTCACCATTCAGAAAATGTCTGTTCAGAAGTATCTGATTCTATCAAGATAAACAATGCACAATTCTCTTAAACGCAATACAATAGCAGAAAACGCTAATTTATTGCGTTTAATCTGAATATTATTGCGTTTGAACGCATAAGATTGTGTTTTAAACGAAATCTCTTGCGATTAAACGCAATGATTATTGCGATTAAAATTATTAAAAAACATTTCTTTCTCTGAACTGGCCACAACGGGCTTCCGTAAAAATCCTTATTAAAACGGTTTTTTTTAAATAATAACTGTATGCAAGAATTATAGCTAAATATTTCCATTTTTAATTTTTTTCTCTTTGATAACTAATTGAACGTTTTGGGAGTTTATTCTTGATAATTCTGTCGGAATGTAAATTAGATAGGTAAGCAGCTAAAGAGGCATAATACGCATGCAAATCTCGAATGCATCTGCCTCTGTGTCTGACGCTAAGGAGGCAAAATATGCATGTAAATCTCGTGCGGCTGCCTTTGTGTAAGACGTCAATGTGCGAGGACTTTTGAAATTGGCATGGAAGTCCTCGTGTAATTTAAATCTATTGGTCTACATTTTTAAGGTCTTATTCTACATTTTTATTTCACAATGAAATGGAAATATAAGGAATCACTGTCTAGTTAGGAGAGTATGCCAGGGACATCAACAATAGTGGGAAACATGGGATAATTTTAGCATAACGGGCTTCGCCCTTTATGCAAATTATCCCATGTTTCCCACTATTGTTGATGCCCTGGCATACTCTCCTAACTAGACTGTGATTCCTTAAATCAAGTATATAAAATTAATACTTTGTCAGTCAAATAATGATTTCGTAGTGTATTTTGTAAAAAATTATACGTTTCTTTGATATTTCCAATAATTTCTTGCACAAATGCTAAATTTACTCTCTTACGTAAGAAAATTATTCCACTTGCTTTAGATTGCGTAATGTTTAAATGCATTACCAACCGCGAAAGAATCAAATTGTTAAATTTCATGAAATAAAGAACAAATAAAAAAAATCAAAAGACACCGTTTTTAAATCAATTGTTTCCAATTCAAATGTTTCTGATGTATATCTGATAGCTGATGATACCCTCGCATCACGGTATATATGAACCTTACGGACTTTGAGATTGAATACTTTTCGTTATCTCCGTATCTTTCATGTACCACCAAGGGTCTTAGAAAAGTTAATTAAGTCAATATTAATCTATACAATGTATCTCTTCAATACAATTCGTTGAGGAACACATTAAGTAGCTTGAAGAGAAAATATTACAGCAAAAACAGAAAAAAATACTACAGAAAACAATAATTTTATTTTATCTAGCAGCATTACGTATGATAGCGAATATTTAAGCACTACCGCTTTTCTAATGTTTCATGTTGGATATCCAAACTGATATAAAAGGCGGAGAAAATTGACCACAAACAAGGTCATTGCAATCTAGAAACCTGATAACAAAACTAAGTAAAAAATTCTAAACTCTGAAATTAAAACTGTTATTTTCACTTGCAAATCGGGCACAAAGTATTTACACTAGAGAAATAACGTAGGTCTGGAAATGAGGATTTTTCAACTAGTATTTTGTTTTCCCTCCATGGGATATTTGCTAATCTAAGTTTACCTGAAAAAAATGGATTACTTATTGTGGCCCCGCCCTACACCCGGGTGTCATGATTTTAACAATTTAATATCTACACTACCCAAGGATGCTTCCACATAAGTTTCAGCTTTCCTGGCCCAGTGGTTCTTGAGAAGAAGGTTTTTAAAGATTTGTTCTATATATTTCTATTAACAATTGGATTCCTTATTGTGGCCCTGTCCTACCCCCGGGTGTCATGTTTTAATAATTTTATATCTACACTACCCAAGGATGCTTCAACATAAGTTTCAGCTTTCCTGGCCCAGTGGTTCTTGACAAGAAGATTTTTCAGATATCTCACCCTATTTTTGTTGATTATCTCCCCTTGTAAGGGGACTTGTCCCTTCATTTTATTAATTTAAAATTTCCTTCACCCAAGAATGCTTTGTACCGAGTTTTGTTAAAATTGGCCCATAGGTTCTTGAGAAGAAATTGAAAATGTGAAAAGTTTACAGACGGACGGACAGACAGACAGATATGCGGACGGACGACGCCTACGGCTCAGGTGAGCTAATAAAAATCATTCAAAATGTGACAAAATTAGGGAATACACATCAGAAACTCTTTACCGTAATAGAAATTTACTTTCCCACACGCTTAAAGCATATGTTTGCATTAAAGACGACCAATAGTTTCCTACTGGTTTCTCTTTATGTTTTCCAGCCTACTCGGGCTGATACGTCTGTTTGTCATTCTCGTCATCAGAATCCAAAGTCGGACAAAAAGGATTGAATTTAAACCACACAAATATATCAAGATCGTGTAAGAATTCTATTTTTGTTTATAAACTTGTTTATGTTTATGATTAGTTTTCAATTTTGCAATCTTTTTATCTATGTCGTGATTTCGTCTGAAAAGTTGTTTCATGCAGCCTCTCATCGCACGTGACGAAAATATGTATTTTAAGAATGATATATCTGTTATCTTTTCGGCGGTAATTCACAAGATATTAAATTATAATGTTAATATTAAATGCACTTAAAAACATGATTTTATTCAGAATTTTCTATCAAAACATTTTTACAAACATATTAAAAACGTGAACGTGAAATGCTCAAAACAAAATAAAATATCTTTACAGCATGTCATACGTTGCAATATGCAATTTTAATTCCTAGAGGTATTGTACATTAGTAGTATAAGGCGTCTGGATGGGGGGTTCAACTGAGTGCACTTTTGGGGCTGGGGGGATAGGGGGTTCAACGGAGTGCAGCCCCTGGGGGAGATAGGGGGTTCAACTGAGTGCAGCCCCTGTGGGGGATAGGGGGGTCAAGGGAGTGCAGATTAGGGGGGTCTGTGGGGGATAGCCGGGTCAATTCAAAACATATAGCCTCCTAAATACGGGGTGTGTTTACACTATGTTTACATTATACACTACGCTGCTACTACGATTTTGGCAGTGATTCAAATCCTTGATTATGACGTCACGCTTCACAGTCTAGACGATCTAGCCAGCCAGCCGGTTCAAACTGGATTTCCTCAAAACAATAACAAACCTGGATTTTCTGAAAACAAAGAACACTAACACACAATAACAAGGGAATTTTTATTCAGAATGAAAAAAATACATTTACATTTTCTTCTTCTTCTGTCCCTTATCGGTCATCAGGGGTAGTTTCCTCTTGGGTTCCTGAGGCTTTTTCTCCAGTTTTTGTATTTCTTTGACAAATTGTTGATCCTCCTCATTCTCTGTACACTGATTAGCCCAATGACCAGATTTCCCGCACTTATAGCACGAATCCTGTTTTTTTCGGGGACAATCTGGGGCCCAATGCCCTAACTCTTTGCAGATGAAGCATGGATCCACCTGTCTGGTTTTCTTTTTTTCTCCTGATCCCCCTTCTTTTTCTGGAAAGTGCTTCCTCCTTTCATTTTAGTAATGTAACTTTTCAGATCAGTCAGCTTGTTGTCAATATCACTCACCTTGTTGTCAATACCAGACAGCATGTTGACAATTCCATCCAGAGTTGTATTCAAGATGCCCATATCTTCTTTATTCATGTATTCTTGAAAACTATAGGGGGCTCCTACATATTCTTCAGGTGTCACATAGCTGGGGTTGTCTGGGGTATTCATCATTGCTTCTTCCATAATATTTTTCACGTCTGTCAAGTTCGAAGTGTCAAGCAAGACTGATTGTCAAATTTTACAGTTTTTTGCTTTATATACCTGCTGTGGGGCGAGTGCACGTTTTACCTACGTTTTTTATGCTGACTACACAGGTAATACTTGGCAGCGATTCAAGTTTGTTAAGGGCCGTGTGCAAAAAATATGCTGACTACACAGGTAAATACTTGGCAGCGATTCAAGTCAGGGGGGCCGTGTGCACCTTTGACCTACCTTTTTATACCTGTTGCATCATCTGTAAGGGGGGCCGTGTGCAAAAATACGATAGACCTACGTTTTTTATGCTGACTACACAGGTAAATACTTGGCAGCGATTCAAGTCAGGGGGGCCGTATGGGGAGACTAGCTACCATACATTTTCTATGTCGACATATGAAAACAATTCTGCCCCAGAAATGGTACGGACTGAACCTGACCCGTTATTTCGGAAAGCCTTACAGTTTCCTGACTCATCCCCAAGCGGGCAAAGTGATTTTACTGTGGCAGGACATAGAAGCGATGGAGAAAGTATGTATTCAATACGGAATGAAATACCTGGAAATTTCACACAGGCTAGGAAATCCGTGACTTTTAATACCAGCCTCAATCAAATCTACGAATTACCCCCCCGAAGACCGGAGAAGTCCCTGGATGCAATTAGTAGCGGATCGAATACGATTTCGGAGGAGAATTCGACAGTTAGAAGCTTTGTTAGTTTTTAAGAAATAAAAATAAAAAAAATCATGTAATACTACATCAGTGTTATGTTATTTTTATGACTTCATCTTTTATACAGTCGGGTTCGGCGGCCATGGCGAATCTCGGCAAGATTTTACCCCAGTGAAAAAGGCTTGTAATCCACCCTGTAGGTCGTTTAAAATTGTTTCACATTGTTTATGATTGTAATTATGTTATCCCTCACCTATATGTTTAATGTCAGCTATGCTAAATAACCCATTTCTGTGTAATCTAAGATAATGTTTTTGTCATGTGCTTAAAGTATGACCTGCTATTCATGTCATCATTTAAAGTCAATCCTAACTAAATCTGTCTTAAAAAAATACATTTTACAAATGACATTTAATATGATTGATTAGAGTGTAGGTATCCATATATATATAAGAGATATTATTTTGCATTACATTTATAAGAGGCATTGTCTCATGTAATTTAAATCATAATAACAAAAATGGGTTTTATTTTTCTATACAGTCCTCAACCTGGAAGATATGTTTTGTTCCTAACCATCTATAATCCATTCTCTATGAAGTGAAGCGTGCTGGCTGCTGGTCTTCCTTTGGAAAATACACAGTGAATCAATTATGATAAAAAAAAACAAAACTTGAATCTAAAAAAAGTTTCAATGAGATATCATTTTAATTTATTTAATTATTATTATTATTAAGATAATTATTAGTTTTATTTTAAATGTTTATATTTTTAAAATGGATAAAAAATAAATAAATCTGATAATGGAAATCAATACTATAAAGATAGCAAGTTTTTTATCTTTAAGTGCTGATGAATTTCTGAATTTTCCATTAAATATTGACATTATATCACAGGGGAAAGAAAAAAACTACTTGAGTGTTTCTGCCTCCCCCCAGAGATCTGCTTATGAGTGCATGGGGATTGCGGTGAACCTTCATCTCCTGTTTAAAACAGACTTTAGAGTATGACAGATAAAAAGGTACTTTTTTTCTTCTTTATTTTACATCAGATGAAAAACATACAATTAATGATGATGAAGAATGTACACATGTTTTTCATAAGTGTGTACAAATTGTTCAATATAATGTCTATAATGAATCCAATTTCCTTGGGCTAGTCCACAGGCAATCTTGTAAGGAAAAGCATAAGTCTAGTAAGGTAAACTTTCCCCCATTTCAAGTTTGAAACCATTGCTCTCTGTTTTGTGGGGTATCCTGATAAGTGGAAATTCTTTTAGGTCGGTGACTTGCTTTTCCATAATCCCATTGAGCTAGTAAACAAATGACCACAGGGGTTTGTGAGGGAAACACCTTAATAGTGCCTGGAATTCCTCTATCTTCTTCTACAGCTAAATTTCTAGTCCTTAGAGGTCTGCGAGTGGCATAGAGATTAGCTTGTGGGAATTTCTCTGCAATACTTTGACTCAATCCATGAGCTTTTACAGTTGAACAATTACATTGATGAACAATAGCTTCTACCTCACAGTTGAGTAAATCACCTTGTATCTCCTGGAGACTCATGATGTAAAATGAATCTATGTTTTAAAACACCCTTGTTTTTATAGAACAACAACACAATAAAACAAGATATTTTTTTTATTCAGGTAAATCTACTATCTCTTGGAACTAATTCTTTGTTTCTCATATTTGGTTTTAGAACTCCATATTCTTCATAGTCACCTTGTCTATAAAAAGTTCTTTCCAATTCTGGGGTGCTGTAAGACATCTCAAAACAGGTTAATTTATGAATCTTTCTGTACAGGTATCTCCCTTGAACCCTGTTTTTCATTTGAATGAATCCTCTCACATGATGAAGTTTTCCAGTTTCTGGATGCATTTCTTTTTGTAAGATCAAGTATTGATAATCACTTCCATTTGATCTACATCTTCCTGTCGGCACCCAGTTAAAATAAATATCCAATTATTGGCTATTCTACCTCTGTCTTGTTTTAAGTAAGCAATATATCCATTGCCTGTATTTTCTTTCTGTTTGTTTTGATAATGAGCCTTAATATCCTCCAAGAGTTTGTTTGGTCTTGTGTTTTCTTTTTCCTCCTGAGGTTTATATTCTACAGGATGTTCTTCCATCAAGGGAGGTGGTATAAATTCTACAGGATGTTCTACCATCAAGGGAGGTGGTATGATATCTTTTCCTCCCTCCTGTATAAGTAACCATTCAGTTTCCTTTAATCTAGTGTTCTGACTCATTTCTTTGCTGGAGGTGTTACCCATAATGAAGCCAGTCCACAACTGAGGTGTGTTTTGTACCATGTTTACTATTTATACCTTTTTTAAAATTGTATCTATTTTTTACCAATCTTTAAAAAACTTCAACACTTTTTGTTTTTGAAAAAAAAAAAAATTATGGTTAAAGGGAGATAACCTATTTTTAAAAAATGACAAAAACCTACAATTTTTTTTTCCTCTTTTTTATTGAGATCTAACAATAAATAACAGTTCAATCTTTTTTTTTTATTCACATCTTGACCAGCTCACATTCTTTAAGAACTTTTTCTTCATAGCTTCTTTAGCTGCAATAGCTTCAGGTTTCTTCCAAGCTCCTATTTCCCATTCTATCCAATCTCTGGGCTCCAATTCCTTATTTCTCTCCTCCGGTTTCAGAACACCATATTCTTCATAGTCACCTCCTTGCTTGTAAAACATACTTTCCAATTCTGGGGTACTGTGAGACATAGCAAAATTGGCAGCAATATGAAGTCTGCACATAGTCAGTCCTCCTTCTGGTTCCTTCATTTGAATGAATCCCCTGATTTGATGCAGTTCTCCTGTCCAGGGATGTCTTTCCTTTTGTATAATCAAATACTGGAAACCGAAGAAGAAATCATCTTGGTTGCTCAGAAACATATCTATATCTTCTTCTTCTTTGGGCTCTTTAATGGTGAAAGTCCAATTAATGGCTACCCTGTAACATCTGTCTGGAAATTTAGGATCCTTCACAGGCTCATGCAGGGGTAAATATTCATTCTTAGGTTCCGGATCCAAGGTTTTCAACTCCATTCTTCTTTGTTGAGGAGCGTTGTGATCCCCCATAGGTTCCGAGGTCTGCGGGTGGCATAGTGGACATTTAGGATCCTCATGCATGGGTAAATATTCATTCCTAGGTTCCGGATCCAGGGTTTTCAACTCCATTCTTCTTTTTGTTTGAGGAGCTTCGTGATCCCCCTCCATAGGTTCCGTCATTCTCTTTTCTAATAAGCCAAATTTATCTTTATCCATCTCCATGTCTTCTAATATTCTTGGAATTCGTTTGCCAAACTGTCGTTTACTCAACCACATGCCCCACCAACTGAGGAGCATCGTCTTTAACACCTTGTTTTTATACCCCTCACCTTGAAAGATAAGGGCCGTGTGCAAAACATACGTTTTACCTACGTTTTTTTTATGCTGACTACACAGGTAAATACTTGGCAGCAATTCAAGATTATGACGTCACGTTTCACAGTCAAAGCTCAGCCAGTCTAGCCTAACCAGTTCAAACTGGATTTTTTTTTTACTGAGAACACTAACAAAAGACAAAACAAAGAACACAGATTTTGATTTTTTTTTTTCATTCTTTTATTTGTAACAACAACAAACAACAACAACAACAAACAACTCATTTACAATACATTTTGATAAAAACATTGACACTTTTGTCCATGACCCGTAGGCAATTCATGATAAGTGTTTTTAAACCAATTCGCCACATATCTGTCCCTTTGTAAAGCCGTACTCTGGTCAAAGGGGAATAGCCACTCGTCAGTTTTCTTTCTTTTCTTGTCTCTTTGATGTAAATAATACACACAATATTGTCCATACACATCGGTATTCCAGTCTTGATAGCGATACGGATTATAAATCCATTGCTGAGCATGACGCTGGATAAAATCTTGAATTTCTTTTTGTAATGGAGGAAATCCATAAGAATCGAAATATTCCACCACGGGATTGCTCACATATAGACACACCCAATGTTCTCCAGGTCGATCTTGACGATCCGTATTGACCACGACAGCTTTTTCTCCAGGTCTTAATTGATCCGGTAATAAATCTACAGGATACATCCCTCCAAAAGAACTTTTGAATTCTCTGGATAAGACTTCTCTTATTTGTCCCGTATCCATTTTTAGTAATCAATGCTCACTTCTCTCTGTTTGTTAATTTCTAATAGATTATCGAATTCTGCATACACCACACAATTGATGGTGGTAGCCGTATTGTTGGTAAACTGCACTTCTACTCTCAGATTTCCTGTTTCTATGATGTGGAATTTATCCGATTGCGCCTCTTGATCTTTAGTGAAATCCCAACCCCATAGAGTGTAGCCGCTTTTATACTCTTCTAGGGTAATGTCCGGAGCCCAATCTTCTCCTAATTTCCCCAGAGCTTGATACAGACTGAGATAGGATCTCAGATATAAATCCTCGTTGAAATGAGGTTCAAAACAACGAGTACTCATGGTCTCTCCGTTGATACTGACGTCTAATTTCTTAATCCCAAAGTTTTGGAAATGAAAGGGATTTTTAGTTTTATCTCCGTTAAAGGCCGCATTCTCCACAAAGCCTAAAATGAGACGTTTAGGCATCTGACCTTGAAACAGATGATCTGTAATCTTAGACTGGGTCCCTATGGGGATGGTAAAGGTTTTCACTTCCACTCTTCTCAAGGGATATTTGGCTCTGTGGCTGTTCAAACTTTGATTAATGGTATTCATCATGACTGCTGTGGGTTTGACTTTTCTCACCCACAAGATCATACTCAATATTTTCACTTTTCCTGTACTTCCTCCTTTGATCATCATGTAGAAAGAGGGTCTAGCTTGATTAAATCGCAAACGGACGTCCACTCCATTAGGTAGAAATCGATCTTGTTGAAACAAATCCAAATGTAAAGTATCCAGCAAACTGATTTTCTTACTGTCAGCAATAGCTTGGTGTCTTTTTCGGAATCCTTCGTTTTTAGAATTGGCCGGTAACGCTGTGAGGATGGGTTTGTTAATGGTCACCCTGTCGACCGCACCATTTACACCCGGAGTTACATCAAAGGTTTTATTTTCAGCTACACCAAGGTCCTCTAACCCCACTTCGTCCATGTGTCCTGCCGTATCTTTTTCCCACAGACTACAGGCCCTCGTCTGTGTCTTTAAAGTTCTGGGTCGGTAAGACAATAATTTCTCCAGATAAGCTTTGTAAGGATAAGTATCCGTCCCCGGAGTTACTATTTTGCCATTCAGACTGACATCGATTTCCGTAAACATGGAATGTAAGATATTATTCACGGGACTCGAAGTGCTGTTTGCCCCAGTCAGATTACTTCCATCGTCTTTGGTAAATTTACATACCATTTGAACATAAGTTTGAGATAAATCCAGATAGTGATCTCCTTGTCCTTTGATTTCAAATTCTATGGGAGCGGTGTCGGAATCTAAAGTACTGGAAATGGGGTAATATTCTTCCCATTTCGAGTCTTCGAAAGCAATATCAGTCGGAGGGACTTGAAACAATTCTAAATTGTTCATCCCACACGCACAGGAATCGGGCTGTAACATGATGTGTCTACTAGGATTCAGTTTTCACAAATGAACCTTCTGTTCCCTGGACTGGTCTATTTATACTCTCTCTCAGTCAAACACATCTAAATGACGTTTTCATTTAGGAATTCCTCCTCCTTGTTTTTTCCTTTTTCTCTTAGGACCCCCTCGGGCTAACAGGATTCTCCCTCTTCCTGTCTGCTTTCTTCTTCTTCTTCCTTGACCTGTTTGTCCTTTTTTCTTCTTCTTCTTTCTAAAGGGTAAAGAGACTCCTCGATTGAAAGCAAATAGACCTGTATTTTTGGCCGCATTGAGTCCGTGGGTTAAAAGAGCATTTCTGATGTTTTTTCTTTTTCCCACTACATCCCGGCCTATCTTCACTCCGGCCATGATGGCTTGTTTTTTCCCATGTTGGAGTAGATCTTTGACAAATCCTCGACCTTTTTGTAG